CCGTAGTAACCGTTCGGGTTACTCTCCCGGGAGGTTCAAACTAGTCGGCCAAGACGTTACTGCTCTTATACTCATCTCTCTATATTGGATCATCAACTGGTGGTGGTGCTCGCACGTACTCATAGGTCGAACTACTATAGACCATGTCACTATAGCACGACCCCAAAAGCCGCAGTGGTCAACAGGGATGATCTAGTTTCAGCAAGTAAGACGGAGGGAGGGTGGCGAAAATCACTGGCGTCTGTGACTAGATCGACGTCCGGTCGACTCGGTCGGAGCATACCGGTGCGGTGCTAGGCTGTTCTGAGTGTTAGGGCTTCATGGCGCCTATACCAAGCGGTCCAAGATTAATTTGGTGCGCAGCCGCGGAAATGAGGTTAATCCTCAGGTTCTCTCAAGGCCAGTATCATATATTGCTCACTTAATCAATCTCTCCCCCCTCCCCCTCCCTCTATCCCTGTCATTCCCAATCCTGTCTTAGAGGAAACCGTGATATCGGCGTTTAATCTCCCTCCCGTTTGTCGCGTTGGGCTGGGCTGGGGAAGCGCGGATACTGCCTCCCGCGCCTAGACCAGGGCGGGATCGCACGGCAAAAGCGTAACAGAATCAGGCAGTGTACTCCGAAGTGTACACGCGTTCGAGATGGATTTGTGTGTGTGTGTGTGTGTGTGTGTGAGAGAGAGAGAGTTCAAAATCAAAACAAGCGACGGTCAAGATACTTTTTTGTACGGCGAAGCGAGATCCTAGCGATGATCAATCAGTCACTCATAGTTCCAAGTTTGACGTCCCGACTCCCGAGAGCCTCGCGAATCTCACTAGGGAAGGTTGACGCGTAGACTAACTAGACTATTATCCGAGCACCTGGGCCTTTGCTTCGTTGCATTCCCTCCCTCCCAACGGTCCAAATCTCTCCAACCCCATCTCGAATCGAGCAAAGTTAAAAAAACAAAAAAAAAACAATTTCGGTATATGCTCGGGAAAATTCGAGATCTGATCGATAATCGCGCCAATAACCAGGGTTGCTTGCGGCATTTTTTCCAATTTTGGAGTTCGGCATATGAAAAGAAATTGGATGGCACCAACTTTACTCTAAAATCTATATGGAGATTACTGTACATACAGACTAACGTTAGTCTACAGTGCACCCTAGGTTATACGTCCGTTCGTTCCTTGCGGCTTGAAGAAAAAATTAGATTGTGCAATCTCTTCGCCGGCGAGATCGTATGATGGTTTCTGGATGTATACAGCGCACAGTAGGTTTCTTTTGTTCTTGCTCGCTGGAATGGCAGGACCGCTCAAACGATTGGGGGAATCATTGTGGGCTTATTCTCTTCGTTCCAGTTGTCTCGGAATGCGATTTCCGTTAGTTTTATTAAGCGGGAAGCGGCGAACCGCGGGCTCCGTGGAGTTTTGGTTCTCCAACTTGATGTCTGTATAGAGTCCAGATTGTCCAAACTCGCAAAAATCCATATCTTCTATGTCGAGATTCACATTTATGCTCACATGGTATATTACAGCCCTCATTGACAACTCAATGGCGAACTCTCAAACATATAAAGCTCTTTGGGTATGACTTGTATATTCTATCTAGTACTACCACTACAACCAGAGCCCCCATCCCAACCACAGTATATGCTTCATCGACCAGAGACAAAATAATAGCATGTCAAAATCTCTACACAGGGATACTCATAATCATCACCTGTGAACATACAAACGAGACATACTCCCTGTCCTGACACCCGAAGCACAAGACAACAAACCCAACGTCGGCCCTAAACTCCGACCAATTTACACCAACCCGACATCCCCGTACTACCACTCCGTCCTTTAAAGAGATTCATAGCATGAAGCCAACCTCTTCGGAATGACATCCCGCCACCAGAGTCCAAGACGATCGGAGGCCCCAAATGCCGAACCCGAATTAGCCAAGGGGAAAACATAAAACAAAAATATCCACCGAGTAACGCAGTCTTGGAAACATGAATGAAACTCCGCGGTGGCCCTCGGAATCGCGGCTGATATTCCCTTTTCCTTGCCCTTTCGAACTCTGCTCACCTGTCACCCTCACATTGCCAACAGATTATACTTTTCACGCCTCCCTGTCCCGTCTGCATTGCAAGCTTTGCGTGTCGGACATATCCGAGCAAGCGGCAGATAGTTCACCGGGTTGAATACGAACGAACACCTTCCTACTCATCCGTGCTGATCAACCCGGAAGAATCCTACGGAACGACAGGGGGAAGCCGGAAAAAGTTTATTGCGGCACAGCACACTGCACCTCACTTGTTTGTAAGAACGCTGTTGGAGTTTAGTGGGGGGGGTTCCTTTCTGCTTTGGGGTTGGATTTGGCTTGGCGGGTGGATTTGGGGGACGGGAGATATCTATCTTACTTCGTTTTCCCTTGCCCTTACACTTACCCGTGGACCGTGGGCTTTGCCGATGAGGTACTACTATTAGGTATCTTGATTTTGAATGGGAGATATAGGGGGTACTATAGTGTAATGACCGTGCATTGGGTAGTTGGTGTCCGGTACCTCTGGAGGGTCCGGTTCGCTGAAGGTCGTATGGCATGTGTGCCCGGATGGATATATACCGACATTGTGGAAAACTCGAGCTGGGGGATCGATATACTACTTCAGTCTACTAACACAAGCCGGGAGTGAGAAAACCTGCAGCAAGTCAAGGACAACTAGCATCAATGCTTCGAGCTGTTCACGGGATCGTCAGATATAGTTCAAGGGAGCCCACGCAGCGGTTCTCAGGCACACCCAATGCCATGGACAGAAGATCGTACCTTGATCCGAGATGTGAAGTTTCCTTGATCTTCCTACACACTCATACCTGAGTACAGTATCACGGGAGTTTCGTGTTCTGAGTAGTATGCATGGTCCAGCCAAGTATAGCTCGTCATACCTACCCTGCCAGAACCGACCTCCAAGCCCATCGCCACCACTACATCTGTCATCTCAAACGGAGTTACATAGTAGTAGTTAACTGACTCCACGCACAAATGACCTGAGCCCAACCCAACCCCAACCCCGACCCCGACCCCCTCTGAAATCAAACCAGAATTGCCACTACCCACACTAGATCGACACTATATCTCCGCAAGCCCGTCGCCCGTCCGCCGTCCACCCCAGAGCCACCACCCAGAAGCTGCATGGTACTTTTGACACATGCCGCAGCAGCAGCAGCAGCAGCAGCAGCAACAAATCGGGCACCACACACAGTCCGGTCCCTCGTTCACGGAGTACAATACATACGAGTAGTACTATACCAGTGGATCATCCGCAGCGACGGTGGTGGCGAAAACAGAAAGAGAGGGGGAGGCAATCAACGCAAACCGGGATTGAAATTGATACGTCTGAATGATCGTGGCCAGCCCCCGGAGCAAATCAGGCTTGTCATGGATTCTCAGCTTCTCAACCTCGGACCGAACCTATCCCATGTCCGGAGGAGCATGAGCATGAGGAAGAGTCGGATCAATAGCCTAATTGACTCTGTCAGTCGGCCAGTCTCTCTGCCAAGGGATCAGCAGGATGAGGTTGATTGATGCTGTCCTCGTTCGAATTAAGCAACTGGAAACCAACCCAAGGAAGAATGATACTTGTCCTTTTGCTGTCTCACACTTACTGAGTAGGTGGCAGTAGAGACCGCAATTGTTTAAATCCCACCAATGGTGGTCCAGGTATAGGATGATGATTACCTGGATGGGTACCGGGGGTGCATATTACCTTACTCTCTACTAGTAGGCACTCGCCCATATGAGTACCTATTAGCAATATACACATGCACATACTTCAACCCTCCACTTCCCAGGCATCAATTCCCTCATCCCCACAAACGATCCACCTATTCATCTAAGCAGAATGAATCAGACCATTACCTACTTGAGCACAAGGCTACAGCCCCCTTCACCAGGACCGGAAAGGCCAGCCCACCTCTTAGAAATAGCTACTGAGTCCTCAACTCCACAAGCAATCTTACTGCACCCATCCTAAGAAACAGGGATCACCTCTGACAGCCCAGATGGCGGAACCCCCCATCCATCCCGCAACGGTGCAAACCAAGGCCTCGGCTGTATCCGGTGAATCACCGTGGTTTAGTCTCCATGGCCCTGTACATCGCTGGGAACTTACATACACATAGTAAAGTTACTACTCACGCAAATCAGTCCAAGGCATGTTCATTTAAACAGCCCATTCAGTTGCATATGGGAAACCCACTTCCAACCCGGCAGCCTAGCAAGAGGACAGCAACCCCTCGAGCAACGATATCAGAATATGGTAAGCCATTCCCCTTGCCCCTGAGGGAACACCACCAACCCCCGGAGCCCACTACCTTACAACCTCAAGAGAACAAAACCAATATCCCCTATCCATATCCCCTAGACATAACCTCAAGACAAACAAACAACCACCCCCTCGTCATCCCCCTCCCCCTCCCCAAATCTCAACCCCATCAACCATAGGATACGAAACGACGACTACCTATAAGTTACGACGCATAGTACAACCTACTCATAACTTACGAACCCCGCAACCCCAAAGAAACCAAGCCCCAACATGAATCATGCTACCGTAGTCCCCCCCCCCCCCCAAGGAATCCGAATAACCTACCGACCGGAGTACACGACTAGGCCATAGCACATTACTTGATGAACATATAAGGGATCCCAGTCAATAATGGCCCGAGCTTTTGATTCGATTACGCGTAGGGGTATTTCAATTCTCTTAGGGAATAACAACAACAACAACGACAAAAACCACCCATAAGTTACCCAGCCGAACCCATACCGACCACCTCACGCACAAACACCAAAGTAAACCGACGGAGCCTAAACAAACCCGGCTCGCGATGCGCAAGAACAGACCCTGCACACAAACCAAAAGTAAACATCTACATTAAACAACCTAATAGATTCAACTGGCCTCGGAGCCGGAACTTACTGTACCCACAGCAGGGCGTCGGATTTAGGCTCAGCTTCACGAGAAAGCTAAATTGATTAGTTGGACAGTTGGTGAGTTGGTGAGTTGGTTAGTTGGCTGGAAGGTAGGGAGTAGTTCGTCAATCATCACATGAAACCGACAACCGACGACCGGCAAACAAGAACAAGAACAACAACAACAACCACCGGCAGAAAACTCAATCACACAGGTAAATCTATTAGCCCCGGGTAGATTGATTGTCAGGGGTTTTGGGTTGGGGTGGCTTGGCTTCTACCGTTTCGGTGAAAGGGGATGTTTTGGGCGGTCGAATGTTATTTTCGTTTTTTTTTTTAGCAGGGGTACTGTACTAGAGTTGAAAGAGGCTGGCTGGCTGGGCTGAGGTTGAGCTGGACTGGACGTTCGGGATGTCGGGCCGAGATAAGTTTCATGATGAGGTGATGTAACATCATGCAGCTTCGGGTTATATGGGTCGATGGGGAGGGAAGGTTGGTTGATGGTTGGGAACGAACGGGATGAGGGATTATTGGGATGCAGGACGGGAACATGCAAACGAAAAAAAAAAGGATGCAGGATTCGTGATTGCGATCCTTTTGGGTTGAGGTGTTCAGGTTGGTTGTGTTGCGTGCTGCTATTTTGAGGTGGTGGCACTAGCCGTGGCCGACAGAAATCTCTGTCCATCATCCGCGAGAATAATGCCAGACGACTACCGGTGAAGCGATCAGCATACGCCAAATACTACAATCGCCATAACTACGTTCAACTACTACACATGAAACCCGCAAGTAACTACAAATCCATCTCATTAAAAACGTCATGGGGTATTGCAAATCCTGTTCATTTGCTCTTGCTACCAGTTTTAGAAAAAAGACCACATTAGAAAACGCAAACACTCATCGCACCGTCATCCAAGAACCATCTAAGCCTCGTAGAGGGTGTTGAGGAACTGCTTGGAGGCACGCTCGGGCTTGCCGCTCTCAAGGGGCTTCTGGCCGAGCTTCTCCTTGGAGAAAGCAGCGGCGTAGGGGTTGAGGCGGAGCATGACCTGCTTGTTGCGGAGAGGGTTCTTCTTCTGGACAGCAGCGCGCTTGGTGCGGGCCTCACCCTTGGGAGCGCGGAGCACGGACTGGATCTCAGAGGAGTTGATGAGACGGGCCAGGTCGGCGTTGGCGACAAGGTTGGAGGGAAGGAGGTAGTCCTTCTTGAGGGCGGCGGGGGTGGTGGTGCTGCCGTAGACCTGGTCAAGGGCCTCGAAGGCGGCGGAGGACCAGACGACGAAGCGACCGAGGTGGCCACCGGGGGCGAGCTGGAGGAGGTTGAGGGAGAAGACGGAGGAGGTCTCGACACCGGGGATGTTGCGGAAGGCACGGACGAGCTCCTTGCCATCAACCTCGGGGTTGTAGACAACGAGGGGACCGCGGCGCTGGCGGAAGCGGCGGTTCCTCAGCTTACCCTTACCAGCACGGAGCTTGCGGGACTTCTGGACCTTGACGAGGTCGGCGCCAGCACCGATGGCCTGGAGGAGGGCAACGGCGGCCTTGGTCTTGCTGATGGCAGCGTTCTCGAAGGTCTTGGACTCAACGACGAGGGGAACCTCGGGGACGTTGGCGACGCGGTGACCGCGGGCGAAGAGGAGGGAGGGAACGGAGGAGGCAGCGAGGGCAGAGGCGGTAGCGAAACGTCTGCAGGCAATCCTGGTCAATCTCTTCCTCCCATGCGCGAAGAACGGTGTATCTCATACCTCTGGCCAACGTTGACCTTCTGGTGCCACTTACGCCAGACCTTGGTAGGGGCGAACATGCGACCGGAACGGCACTGGTTACCGAAGGCAGCCTGACCAGCACGGTGAGTACCACCACCGGAGACACGGGGGATACGAGCGACAGCGCGACCTGCAAATCCGATCCCGATCAGTCCCTGAAAATTCTGCCTCCCCTCTTCGATTAAAGATCCAACGTACCGGTACCCCAGGACTCAGCGGAAGTCTGTTCACCAGCCTTCTCGCTCACGGCATAGGGCTGTCTCTTGTTCTTGGCAATGCCGGTGTGCACCTGCCTGTAATTCGCAATCCGTCAGCCTTTTCCATCCCGGTCGTAAACTTCTTCTTCTTCGTGTCTCGGATTCCCTCAAGATCGAATAACATACTGAACAATGTCAGGACGGATGGGCGCAGAGAAAACGGCGGGAAGGGGAGCAGTGGCCCCGCTGGGCTTGCCCTCGGCCGTGGCGATGGTGACGGTAGGACGAGACGCCATTGTTGTCGACGGGGGTGTGGTGGTCGTTATCGTCGTTCGAGGTTGAAGATCGAGTATCTCAAAGATGAGCCTGCGCAAATTTTCGCTTAGCCCGAACCGCCCGTCGTGGGTGCGGCAATGCCCTAGCCCTGATTTCTGTTTTGGGAGCCCGCCAGCTGGCCGCCAGAGCGGGCTGATGCCTGAGGCGGGAACAAAGTGTGGAGTATTTGAGGTTGCGGCTCCACCAACGAGATCTTAGACAGAGCATGTACTCCGATCATGGTTTCGCACTCCTCTTTGTCCTGCGCAGTACGATACTACTAGACAAAATATATGGTCAAGATGCTATCATTGCTTCACGTGAACAGAGATGTTATCAGCCAATCCAACATTTCTGACTGAGCGTAAGACGCGGTTCATGCATGATGTACCCTGAGCAGGGCAAGGATACATACACAATGGAGCCGCCGGTTGAGTAGTCCTCGGCAGTTGGTCAATGCAGACAGGCTTGGATGTTGTCTATGCTAACACTGTCCATTCAGCTATGACCAACTTATCGTGGGATAAGCATGATGAAGGAATGTCTGCAATCCTACGAAGCTGTGTACTCACTCCAAGAGGAATTATCCAATACAAAGATTACAAGGAACAAAGTCACTGATACTGACCAGCAGTATATTCTCCTATCTCGATATGCTGTATCTTATCCAGGTCTTGAATGTACAAAAAGAGCGAACCCCCGAAGGGTTTTTCACATGCGCATGCATAGTGGGTGAAAATGAATGTTGAAATGAAATCATGAAATTCGTTATGAAATAAGGTGGTGGCTGGAGCGACTAAACGTGTTGGTGACCTCCGTGGGCACGGCGTCTGGCGCGCATCTCAGTCACATCGCGCTTAGACTTGGCAGTAGCGATGGAGAGGTCGGCGCTCTGGCCTGGCGTGCACTGGGTGCCGCTCGCCATAGCCTGGGAAGCGGTCCACTTGCCGTTGGCGCAACGCTGGAAGGAAGAGCCATTGATGCAGTTCCACTGGCCCTCCGTGCTGCAAGAGCCGGACAGGGCACCAGAGGTCGATGTGCTAGTGCTGCCGGATCCAGAAGAACCCGATCCAGCGGAAGCTTGAGGGGAAGCTCCGGAGGAAGCTCCGGAAGAAGTTCCAGACGAAGATCCCGCCGAAGAGCCGGAAGCAGATCCAGACGAAGCAGAACTTGCTGCTGGAGGCGCCGCGTAAGCGGTGTTTGCAGCGGCCGTGGTAGTTGAGGCACTGTAAGATCCGGTGTTTGCATTGGCGTTGGCGACGACCGCACTAGAGACGGCAGCAGCTGCGCTCGATGCAGCACCCGAGCCGGAGCCAGAGCTGGAGCTCGTACCAGAGCTGGTCCCAGAGCTCGTGTCACCGGCACCGCCAAAGGTAGCAGTACCAGTGCAGGCAGCGCTGCCCTCGGGTGCCAAGTTGCTGGCCTCACCAAGGTACTGCACATCGGCACCAGGCTGGGGGAAGCGGATATCGACACCCTCCTTGGTAGTGCAGCCGTTGACGTTGGCGACGAACATGGGAGGGAAGCTGGATGAGCGCTCCTCCAATTTCGGCATCACGCGGGAACGCTTGGAGCTGGAGCCGCCAGTGACCTCAAGAGGGGCGCAGTTCATATACATCTCGCGGTTGCCGATGCGGTTGAACCAGGTCCAGGCCAGAGTGTATTTGCCAGGAGTGATTCCCTCAGGAATAGTGTAGTTGAAGGAATATGGATCCACGCCATTGGGATTTGCGGGGAGGTTTCCGTCAACATTGGCAGGACAGCCGCCCTCAAAGGACTTGATGACCATCCACGATGAGTCTTTGGTAGGCTCTAGATCCGTGGTCAGACTAATCTGACAGGATCCTCCACCGTGGACGGCACTGCCCTGGAAGGTCAGGGGCATGCTCTCGCCAACAGCTGCCTTGTTCCATTCGGTGACTTGATAGGTGTTGGAACGAAGCTTGCAAGGGAAGTCGCTGCCGTCAGCCGCCAGGGGCGAGTTGTTGAGAGTATCTTTGCCGTAAGGAACAGGCTTGGACATGATCATGTGTCCTTCAACGGCGGACAGGCCGAGCAGGGTAACTGCCACGAAAGTCGACTTGGAGAACATGGTGGTAGGTTCGTAAAGCGTTAGACTGTTCGACAGTTGGATAAGTGATGGTAAAATGGTGTTCAAATCGTGCCAGACGAATGGGAACAAATGTTTGAAGGGCTGAAGAATGGAAGAACTGATGTAGCTGGGTTAGCAAGGTGCTTTTTATATCTCGTACATATGAGTGTTGAGGATCAATGAACCGATGCAATCCACAGGAGATTTCCGTATAGAAGACCGTGCATAACACAGGAGCATAACACATCGATGTGCATAGAGAAAATTACCTTTATGCAGACCGGACAACAAAGAAGCCACAGGTCAAAGAATGGTTTTGTGGCGGAAGATGTCACCAAACAATGGTTGTTCTTTATTGATTCGAAGGTAGGAATGTCGGAGACTGCCGCAGGCAGGTTCACCGCAAAGATGCAAGTAAAAGAGAGAGGGAAGGAAAAGAAAGACAGGACTAGCCTGCGAAACTGTCGAACAAGTGTAAAGGGTGAAAGGACTGAACGCTCCAGCGCGGGATGAGAGAAGGAAAGGAAAGAGAATGCCCAGCCCTGGTGTTACAGGGGGGATTATATAGCATTGTCATGGTTCAGAATTGCAAGCGCCATGAATCAGGCGACAGGTAACAATCAGGGATGCAATTCAAAGACATGCATTGATGTGTACTGTGTAGGTGCAGTTGAATGGGTACAGTTCAATGTACAGTAGAAAGTGTGGAGAAGAGGAGAGTGGAAAAGTATACCTTAGTAAGGTAGTGTAGGTGAAACGGTGACTGCTCAGGGCGGATCTTGTCGCACCATCAGCCCGGCGCTTCGGATCATTGGCCGTGGAAGGATCGATTGGCGCCGGCCCACTGCCAATCATCACTGCAGTTTGTAAGTTTTGTCGCTCTCGATTTCAGGTACAAGTAATTCCCAGCCTGGAGTGGAACATGGCTTTCTTCAAGGCCCTATTGAATGCTCATTTGATTGGCATGAACCCTGATGAACTCGGAACCCTCCTCAATGGAATAGAACTACCCGATCTGTCGCAAAGTCCACTCTGTCCACCCAATCACCACCACACATTGACATTTTCTCCTCATCTCAACTCCTCGTCGCCTCGCAACTTACAAGTCACATCTCCCCCGACCGGGTCAACTGAACACAAACCCTGCGTCTCGGACCCTTACTTCCATCTCAAAATCTCCGCTCGACGTGGGTCATGTAGCCACTGATGGTCAACTATCCGTTCTGAGTTGCAACGATGTGTGTGTATGCGCGCGCACAGTTCGGACTTCTCCCTGTTCGGGATCAGATCTACAAACGCACTTCCGTCTGATACCACATCGCATGTGAATCCATAAACTGGGATAGCACATTTGCCTCTCACAAGTTTGGTCACCCTCTCAGTCATTCCCCACCTGGATCGCTAATCATAAGGTCCATTACCATCAGGTTGCCAACAATATTGCACTGCTGCTTTAATCTATGTGTACCAGTCACAGAATCAGGACAAAACGACCGACTCACCCAACCAATCCACGCAAGCCCAAAGACAGACATCCGAGCCGATACGACCAGGAGAAAAAAAGTCTATCGTCTTCCACTCAGGCCTTGGGAACGCATCTGCAGACTGCAGCTGAGTTTTGGACAATCCTGCCTATCCATTCCCTGACTGGTCCGACTTGGCGCTTGGTGGCGAACAAAGTCAAACCAGATGTCTTACTGGTAAACTGTATTGATCGGTTAGACGGAGTGCGGCTTGAATCATGCCCAAAGTACTGTACCTGCGTCTTCCCTCACTCCTACCTTGAGGATGTGTATAAAAATAAATCTGTGGTTGGGGATCAAGGGGACCGACCGAGGTAAGAATCGAACCATCAAAGTGCTGTACAGGTGCAGTCCGTACCTGCGCAACCTTTCCCAACCACCGCCGCTCCATGGTTCCAAGCCGATCCCCGCGGACCCTGTCGGCGCAAAACCCTGGCTCTGGGATTTGTGGAGTCTGCCTTTTTGGTTCTTTGCTGCCTGTCGGAGACCTCCGCTATACATCGGTTGAAATCCCCGCATTAGAACTTCGATGCCTTTTGTGTCGACGTTATTTGCAAAGAACCGATACTTGCCGGTGGTACACTGTGCCTCGTACACTATATGCATAATGCATTACAGTACATACGCCCATTTGCTTGACTTGGATGAGGTGGACTACACATGAGTGCACATCCGCCGTGAACACCAGTCAATGACTTAGACCACGATCGCTCCACTGGATTGAGCAAGACCTGCAACCACCGAGCCAAGCATCATAATCTCGCTACCCAGCTTCAAGAGCTCATCTCCCTGGCCACAGCCACACCCAACCCAAATCCCAATGCAACCTCAATAATTGAGCCAGATCGCTACTCCATGCCAAGAAACCACAGATCACGGCTACCTTCGGTTGTCAAGTAGCCTGAAACTGTCTTCGTGGGGAACATGATCAAAACCTACTTGAAACGAGCCACCGCGGCAGATTCGCAGTTGTTACTTGGGTGAAGGGAGCCGATCACCTTCATCTCCTGACCCGCCCTATGGTATAGACATTTAGAGCCTGTCTGCGGGAACGTTGAATCTTAAAGTGAGTTTGTGGCTGTTTTCCTTGAGTGGAGGGAAATTGGCTGTACCTGGAATGGATCAGGAGATTGAACGCAGAATGTGCTGCATGTGACAGGTGCCAGCCACTATGGCTTATTGTCGGGGGTCACATCACGGAACTATATGTTCTCGGGAGGTGTATTACAGTTCTATCTACCTGTATTTAGTGTACATGTCACAAGTTATCTCATACATGTAGCCCATCGCTTTCGCCATGAGTTACCAGCTGGACCAGCAGCCACCGCCTCCGGGGTGCATTGACAACCCTCGCTCGGAAGGTTGCAAGCTCCTCCGTCACAACATCCGTATGTGGTAAGATTCAGGATGTGGCGCAGTGAGAGCGGTGTTTCCAGCGACCGAAGTCCCTGAATCAAAGAAGGTGTCCCGATGGCCTGGGGTAGATTGTGCTGACTGTCGCTAACCCACCAGCCAGGACGCATGGATGCTATCATGTCCATGTCAAGCAGCAGCAGCAGCAGCAGCAGCAGCAGATAACGCTGCACCAGTCCAAGCCTCGCCAGGAAGCAGACTGGATAATGCAAGACCGGTAATCGGCGCAGCAAACCCATTCCCCACGACCCAACATCAGCCCCCAGCCCACAGCTAAGGTCCTTCAAGGTTCACTTCTTCCCCTTCTTCTTCTTGCCCCCTTCCCCATTCCCAGCCGACGACTCCCGCACAAAACCCCCCTTAACCAACGCATCCCGCCCCGCCGCATTGATGATCCTAAACCGATCCGGCCCCAACAACACCCCCCCATACCACCTCGTCACGACCACGACCACATCCCAAACATCCATCAACTGCATGAGATGCAACAACCGGCCCCCAGCCGCCGTCTCCCCATCATCATCACAGTCCTGCACAATCGACACATCCCCTGCTACCGTAGCATCCCCCCTCCCACCAGCCCCACCGGGGTTCTTCCTCTCCCTGATCCTCCATGCACTAATATTATGCGTCGCGGCCGCGACCTTCTTCTCGCTCGCGAGCAGATAATCCAGCACCGCTCGCGCCTGGCCCAGACTCGTCACGCGGGCCGCCCGCCCCACGAACACGGATTTCTTTTCCGTGATCACCTCCGAGAGCATCCATTCCGGCGGGGCGGGAAGGCCGAACGTCTCGTGCAGTTGCGGCGTCGCGGGCGTGGTGGTCGATTCCGTGGCGGGAGGCTTCTCGTGCGCTTGCGCTGCGCTCGTCCCGGTTTCGTTGCTGTTGCTGGTGCCGGTGCCGGTGCTTGGGTTATCGATGCTGGTGATGCTGGTGCTGGTGGTGGTACTCTCCCCGCCGACGCCGATCTCCGTGAACGCCGTCTCCGCCTCGGAGATCAGATCGAATAGACATACCGAGCCGGCGGTGTACACTCGGGAGAGAATGGAGGCGAGGATGTCGACGGCGAGTTTGCCTTCGCCGCGGGCGGCGGTCGATGCCGTGCCTTGGATGAGCGGGGGGGTGTCTGGGTAGGTTGCGGGGAAGCCGAGGAGGAAGGAGAGGTGTGGGTGGTTCGGGATTTGGAGTTTGAGGGTTGTTTGGGTGGGTTCGCTGCTGCTGCCGCTGGTGCTGCCCAGGTCGAGGGTGGAGGGTGCGGTGGCCGTGCTGGAGATTGTGATGGTGTCTGGGTCGTAGATCGCGTTGATGGCTTCGATTTCTTCGGCGAGGTCGGTGTTCATGAGTGGCATCTTCGGTGGGTTGTGGAGAGGATAGGTAGGGGTTAGGGGGTGGATGCGTAAGGTGGGTGTGGTCAGTCTTGCGACGGACTGCGGATTTGATTTCGGAGGTGGTGAGGGGGAGAGAGATTTGATGAGGGGAAGCGTTTCTGTTGGGCTTTGCTTCTTGTGGGGCATGAGACGGGAATGGGACTTTCTTTCCCAATCAGGCCTTATAGCTCAATGGTAGGGCGTCAGTTTTCGGTACTGAAGGTTCTGGGTTCGAGTCCCAGTGGGGTCGCTTTCTTTTTCACTTTTGTTTTGTTGTTGTTTAGTAGTCTCTTTTTGCTAGTTCGAATCTAAGCTTGTTTCACGCGATGGAGGGGATGTCTTTGACGTGGTAGCTTTTCTATGAACCGTAATTACGGAGTACTTTGTCTCGTCATCGCGGGTAACTACGTAGTATCAACAAACAACGCATCAACCACTCAACACCCCAACCCCATCATATTCGCCGGTCCCTCCAACTGCAACCTCTGCAGCATCACCTCCTCATCCTCCAACCCATCCAGGTCCTTCCTCTTCCAGAACGCCCGGAACCCGTCCACCAACCGCCGAGTAATGCCGGCGACCTCGTCCGCGGGCATCGCCGCGAAGCACAGCCGGAAGTACTGCTGCGAGCGGAGGACCGCCGCCGGCGTGGGTGCGAACAACGCCCCGGGACTCATCAGACACAGGTACGGTTTTTCCATGAGCTGCAGCCAGAGCGCCTTGCTCAAGCGCTCGGCCCCGTACCTCTGCAGCAAGGGATGCGTCTCGATGCTGACCTTCAGCCACACGAACATGCCGCCGGTGGGCCACCGAAAGTCATACATCTGCACCTTATCCAGCACCTCCCAGGCACCTGCTTCCGCGGCTGCTTCTGCGCCGTCCGTATCGACCAGGTACTTCCCCTCTTCCAGGACCGTGCACATGTCGCGCATGCGCCGCTCGTAGCTCGCGCGCAGCCCTTCCAGCCACCGCACCCAGCCATCCATCTGCCAGGCGCGCGGCTCGCCCCTGCCCTTGCCCTTGCGATTTGAGGAACCGCCCTTACCGTCAGTATCAGCCTGCTGACCCAGGATCAACTCCGCCACCATGGCCTGCACGAACCCGGACGGCTGCTGGGTACTCGTCTCGGTGATGCGGGTCAGCCGCTCGATGAAGGCCGGCTGCGCGGTGATCCAGCCCAGCCGACACCCCGGGGCGATCGTCTTGGAGAAGGTGTCCAGCCGCACGACGCGGCCGTCCGTGTCCACCGACAGATACGAGGGGACCAGCGAGTCCAGGAACGCGTAACCCGAGGACCGGCCGTGGGCGTTGTAGTTGGGCGGGGTTGGGTGGACCGCCGCGGGCGAGCCGCGGTGCTGGGCCTCCGTGGCCGCCGCGGAGGGGTACTGGAGGTTCCAGTACGGGTCGTCTTCGATGATCAGGATGTCGTACCGCTGACACAGCGCATAGATCTCCTTCCGGCGGGCCACGGACAGAGTCCCGCCCGTGGGATTTTGGCCGATTCTGCAGGCAGGCAGGTGGGCAGCGAGTCAGCTCGTGGTGTTTGATGCTGATGAGGAGAGAACCGAGAATGCATGGGCGGGGGTCGAGGACTTACGTGATGGTGTACATCAGATGCGGGCGTCGACCTTTCTTGAAATCCCAGTTCTCCAGCACATCCGCCAACCCGCCCTTGCCGTGCGCGAGCATCCCCTCCGCGTCGATGGCGACGGTGGCGACGTTGACGCCCCGGGGCTGGAAGGTCTGGATGGCGTTCATGAAGACGAACTCCTCGCAGAGCACGCCCTCCCGCTGGTTGATCCAGTCGCGCCGCGGGTCCCACGCGGTGGTGAACGCCTCCACGGCCTTGGACAGGCCATCGGTCGCCCCCGTCGTGAGCAGGGTCGCCGGCCCGCCCGCGTAGGGGACATTGGGGTGGAGGTGCTCGCGGGCGAACTCCCGCACGAACGTGGCCAGCGCCGGCAGACCCTCGGCGGTGCCATACTGCAGGGCCGTGGCGACATCGATCTTGTGGAGCGTGCTGGCCTGGGGGGTTTCTTTGGGGACGACCATGCGGTCCGTGGCCCGCGCGTCTCCGTTTTCTGTGGTTGTGGTCACCGCGAATCGCTGGGGGTGGGCGACCGTGGCCTCGAGGGTTTCGTAGGGGAAGTATGACGCATTTGGCAAGCCTGATGTCGTGCGCGGTAAGTGAGGGGGAAGACGTGGTGATGCTGGGATCACGCAAGAGGATCAAGAACAATGCTCACTCACCACCCGCCATATTATCGACATTGGGCCGAATCATGTACTTGTACAGGCTCTTCACCAGACTGTTTTCGCGTCTCTTGGTCACGGCCGAGAGATGATGCGACAAGTCGAGCGGAGGCGACTTTTGGAGGTTGGAGTATGCCATGATGGTCCCGACCGAGATGTCTCGCAATCAGTCGCCAATGTCGGAAGTACGAGTCAAGAACTGAGCTAAAATCAAAATGGGATAATGATTCAACTGCTCAGACTCCAAAGCACGGGCGCGAGGACGAAGACCGTTGGGTCTATATAGAGGAGACGTTATCGCCGTGCTTGATAAGCAGGCCACGATAAACCTAGACCTTGGTTCGAGGACCCAGACCCACATGGAGGGATATCCCGACAGCAGCCCTTCATGAAGACCGTTGAATGGACCAGATAAGTCAGATATGTCCGTGCAGTGCTTGCTGTGGTAGGTCCGGTAGGATGTGACTCGTGGGGAGAGTGTAGATAGGGTTGGGATCGCAATCCTGATTTCTGCTGGTCTTATCCGGCGAATCCGGGGGGCAGAATTGGCTTGGCTGCTACACGTCAATCCCCTCCGTATTTTCTTGTGTTCCATAGAGGTTGTACAGTACCCCGGGTTGTTTGCCCCGTGGGTCAGCATGTTGTCATGTTACTATCATTGAACCAAGTGGAAACAAAGCCTGGGGGCGATGGCTTTCTTTGGCTGGTGTTGGTCGGGGTTGAGATTCGCGGCTGGGTTCTTTCTTTCTGGCTTGCCGGGCGTTCCGGTGTGGGGGATATGGGGAAGTCTGGTTGGTTCTAAGTTCTAACTGTCACTCATGCTCAGTCGACCGTTCTAGGGCGAGATAAGCTAAACTAGCAGTAGACACTAGATAGATGTCAGATATGTCGAATTGCAGAATAGCATGTGCTATAGTAATTCGCTGCAGTTTAACATGCCTGAATAAAACCTGAAATCCCGACAGCTGGACCAATCCACATTAGGATATAAGAGTATCACTCTTGATTATGCGGGGCAAGCAGGTAAATAACTCCAACATGCTGTGGATCTAATCATATATCGACAGTTAGATCCCACTATGAACCGTGGAGATCGTATGTATAGTAGAGTGACCCCCCTGTGCTCAAAGCCTCAATGCATAGACCAGTGGTATTGCCCGCGATAAGCTCATCAAGCCATGCAACGCATACTAACAATCTGGACCCCATTCCAGCACTTCGGTTTGACCCCATGTGAGGAAGTAAGTGTCTTGAGAGAATCTTTGTCCATAGAACGTATGTCGAATATCGACGGAGATTAGGTGAGGAATAAGTTTGTTAGAGCGTCTAATGGTAAGTACACCATCACATCCCCAACCCCAGCCCTAAACCACCCAGTCTGAATCTCAAGATCGGTCTCAGATCGTGCACTGCACTGCACTTCACTGCACTGCGTTGACAGCCACAAGAACCACCACAAACAACTAGGAAAATCATGATCCCACCCAATTTCAAACTTGATTACTCCGTACAACTCGCAATTCTGATCCCACCTAAGTCTCCCTACCCAACTTCATTATGACCCATTGATACCCCCTTAATCTCTGCAAATTCCAAACCAGCCCGCCCAGCAGGTCCCATCCAGCAGGTACCCGTCCCACCCAGTCTATAGACAATAGCCCATGACTCGGAAAAAGCAAAATCCAGCATGAGCGCTGTAGGTCACGCAGTAAGCCCCAGACCAACCGTCGATCCAGATCCCACAAGCAGCATCCCATCCCAGAGCAGAGACGAGCTCACCAGCCTATCTTACTCTTCCCCCAGAAGAAATCAAAAAAGAAAACTAACCTACATGATATACGTATGTAAACACAACCCTGGGTCTGAAACCACCCCATGTCCATGACCATGTCCATGTCCAGGAAGAAGTACACAAGAAGAAAGCAAACACCCTCCCCTCCCCAACCATCTACCAGTGGTATCCCCAAGCAGCAGCAGCAGCAGCAGCAGCTATAAAAACCCCCATCACCCTACCCTACCCATCACTCCACCCCCAAACCTCAGCCCAAACCCATCACTCCCATTAAACAGGATCCACCCAACCAGCCCGAGAAAATGTACATCCCAACCCTCCTCCCCCTCACCCTCCTCACCCTCCTCGGGGCAACCTTAGCCTCCCCCACCATCGCAGCAATGGAGAAGGAGAAGCCGTTAGCCGCGCGAGTGAATATCGTACGTTTCCACATTGTCCAGTCCCTATCCTTTCCTTCAGAGTCTGGAACCACACCCCCCGGGCTTGTTCATCCCATTGCCCACCGGGATACCAAGCCCCCCCCCCCCCAATCCTAGAAGCTAATATCAATCCAGCTACCCAACGGCGCAACCTGCAACAAGGACGGGAGTATGGGTGTCTGCCAGAGTAATTTCTGCATGGTGAGTCTTTCTTCTCCTTCCGTCTGCGATGAGTTCGCGTCTGCGGAGATGTACAGCACAGCGTGCTTGGTGAAAGACTGGCTGACTTGCTTGGCATGTTGTCTAGCAAAATGAGGGGGCTGCTACGGGGGTCTGTCGGTGAAGGGTTGGTTGGGCTGGGGGAGAGGATCGAAGGGGGAGGGGGGTGGTGGATAGCATCTATTCCTATCCCAATTGGCGTCCTGGATAGATGAGCTGAGTGTCAGGGTATTGCAGTCTGAATAAAACCAGTAAGGACGATCGCAGGTCTGTGGTTTGGTGCGGTTTCCCGATCTATCAAGAGCGTAGTACTGTTCTCTTCGCCCTACTCTCTCGCCTCTAATGTGGCTTGCTGAGGAACTGTCGAATCTTCCACTTCCCATGTTTCTCGAACTTCATAGCCCTTTCCTATGGTTACCTTCTCCGTCCATCTTTCTCTATCTCTGTCGAATTTCTTTCGACCTCAGAAGTGGTAGTAGTAGCTCTTCTTCTTATTCCTTCATTCACTCAGGTATTCGGGCTCTCTGAGCATCACGCCCTGCTGTGACCATGAACACGTCCGCGATTGCTGGGAAGCGTATCTGGGCCATGCAATGGGCTCTTGATGAGCGAGGGATCCGAGGATGGACTGACGGGCGATGCATTTCGTGAGCTGTTGGAGTGCTGCCATCGAGCAACAGCACGACGTCGACGACGCGATGCCTCGGTACGCGCACCTGCATCGGGACAAACGCCAAGCTCTGGAAGTCACCCGGGGGGAGGGCGGCCAACGGGCCAACGACCACCTGACTGAGTCCACCGTCAAGGCGATCTGGACATATCTGCGTCGCATGGGGGGTGGTGACAGGTTTGTTTTCTGGCAACAACTTTGATTATGCCGGTTTCTCACCCAATACTCCTCATCTGGCTGGCCTGTTAGGACCAACAACTCTAGCCTGCACGGGGCTAATCACTAGGAAAGGCTCTCGTCAGAATACCTGCCTCTCTATGGGGCTTGCTTCGAGGGCATAATCTTATACTTGCCGTTGAAGAAGGGTTCGAGCGACAGGGGGCTGCTTAGGAGGGATTAGAAGCGGCGCAGGTTCGAGTGGTCAGACGAGTCGGTAGTTTTACGTTAGTTAAGAGATTATCTCACCTCGAGGCTTATCCTGTAGGTTGAGACTTGGCTGTTACGATTTGAGGCAAAAAAGAATACATTGACAATTGGCAAAGTCTTCGCAGCAGATAACATAGCTGCGACGGGAATCTCGTCCACTAAGCGTTATTCTTTCAATATATTCCACAGAATTCAACTGCGCGTTTCTCCCAGAGACAGCGACAGTTCTAGTCCAACCGATCCTTCGAGGATAGGAAGCTAAGGTGTCTAACATGTACATCGTAAATCCGACGGTGCCTGGACCATCGCAGAGACATTTGAAGAAAGAAGCAAATAAGTATATCCGAAAAGAAAACAAAGTCACAAGAACTGCCCCGCCCCACAACTCCAATCAATGGGAGTGTCCGTGGCGGTAATGCCTGTGGGGATGGTTATGATACCAACCGCGCTTCGAAGGGGGTCGGCTGGACGTAGCGCCGCCACTGGGAGTGGTCGTGGTCTTCGAGACGGTTTCCAAAGAGCCAGTCTGCGTCTCGATCGGGACGCCTTGATCATCCACAAGGACAATAATTGCTTGTTCGACGTAGACGATTGTTGTGGACGAAGCCGGTTCGGCAGATGAGGTGCTAGACGGCGGCGACCACGTCGTGATTACCTCCCAGTCGGCGATTGCAAAGGAATCTTCCAACGAGCTGGAGGGTTCTGTTTGCGGAGAGACGGCAGGTCTGGGGATCATGGCAAGCGTGCTCGAGGCTAAAACGGTGGTTTTGATCAATGCCGTACTGGTGGTATGAGTAGCCACGTTCGGCTTGGCTATTGGAGTTGTGCTGGAGAGGATGGACTTGATTAGTGGGACGCTGGTCGCTGACGAAGTCGTCGTCGCCGCGGGCTTGGCGACTACCGCAAAGGTACTGGATCCTGTTGCGGGGGCCTTGGCGAGTGAGCTGTTGGTAGGAGCGATCACGCTTGGCTTGGGGGCGATTTCAGATGCGCTCGGCAGTTGAGTAGTCGTCTTGATTAATGGGGCGCTCGTGGACGAAGGAGTGGTCAACACCGGAGGTTTGGCTGCTACAGCGAGGGTGCTTGGCACCGGCAAGGCAGTCTTGATCAGTGGGGTGCTTGTTGCTGAAGATTTGGCCGATGTCGAAGGTGTTACGATGCTGTCCGTCGACGGCGAGGTCGGAGAAGCGATAAGTGCTGCAGACATAATGGTCTGAGGGGTTGGCACGGTTGTATTCGCGGTGTTAAAAAGAGGTACCGATGATGAGGCTCCACCAGAGGCAGCGAATGAGAAAGGAAGGCCCATTACTGAGGATCTCGGAGTGGCAATGAAAGACGCTGGCGTGGGAGAAACCAAAGACGTAGACGAAATGGTGAACGCGAAAGGGGCTTGATTAGATGCCGGAGGAATCAAGACCGAAGACTGGACGGCGGCGGATGGAGAGGCCAGAGCCGGAGATGACACCGCGAACAAGTGTGATGGAGCCGAGGGAATCGAGGAAGATGTTGCGTCGATAGATGACGAGGTCAACATTGAAGACACAGCAAGTGAAGGTTGAGGAGTTGTTGGCGTTAGACCAGTCGAGGCTGCGGGAGGCGCAACTACCGGTTTGGCCAACACCGTCGACGACGAAGCCGGAACGGATGCAAGCAGGACCGGAGACTTCGTCGCCATAGTCGAAAGCACAGACAATGCCGACGACGAAGCCGAGAGTGACGGCCTGATAGTTACACTGGAGAATTCCGATACGACCGACGCACTTGGGATTGACGGTTGCGCAACAGAAGTCACTGAAGTAGCCGCGGTGAACGGTGCAGCAAAAGTCGTGTGTGCGCTGGTTTTCGAGGAGGTGATCGGACGGGCAGGAGGACCCTCTGCAACCGGGGGAGCAGTCGGCTCCCAGGCCTTCGCCGTCGTGGTCGTGGACGAAGTAGTTAGTGTAGGCAGTGCCACATGCAGACCGGCCGACAAAAACCCAAGATCAATACCAATTCCGACGGTGGGCAGATCATCCAAGTAGACGGGCGTTGGTCTCCCGTGGCCACCAGCGCCGGTGGTAGTGGTGGTGGTGTATCTGACTGGGCTAGCATAGGCAGGTCCGCTTTGGATGGCGACGTTGTTCGGGAGACCACCTTTGTGGTAGTTCACGTCTTCACTCTTCAGAGCATCCGGAACGGAGAAGCGGCACTCATCCTGTTTCTGGTCACTCTGAAGCGTAAAAACGGGGCAGTCCGTCACTTCTCCAGACATGTTTGTGCATGTATTCACTGCCTGCTGGAGCACCTGTGAGTCCCAGCCATACATGAAATCACCGTGGTAGCCGTATCCCGTGGGGTCTCCATTTGCGAGCACAAAATTGCCTTTTTTGCTTTTGAACGCGTATGTATCCCAGATACTTTCATAGAAGAGTGAAACAAGACGATGCTCGAAACCCTTTGGGCATTCCCCGTCCATCACCAGAGACGGATAGGCCAGGTGAGACTTGTGATCCGGTGTGTCGATATCCTTCCCATTCCAGCAGGATGGAAACATCAATTCAAACCGAACGCCCTCAGTGCAGTGCTCATCCAAATATGTCTTGTTTGGCAAGAAATGACGACCCAGAGAGGGTTCGGGGTCCTTTTGGTAATTCAGACAGTTGAATCCGACAGCTTTCTGGCGAAGAGCCTCCTGTTTTAGATCATTTCCAGACCACTCTGACTGCGGGGGATCCGGTATCGGCCAGGGGAAGTCGCGCAGGTATGTATCTCCTGCCATCATGCGGAAGTTTTCAGGGAACGCCATCACATTTTCGCCGTTGAGAAGGTAATAGCTGTTTTCGTCAGCACCAACACAAATCGGCAACAATCGCAAGCTGGGCAACTAACGCAAGCATTCCGCCGACTTCGTTGACAAGCTCAGCATCGCCATTTTGATGCACGAAATACAACGCGGGCGTCCAGTACGCTGACTTGTCTTCGGTCACTGCGCAAGACGTACAGCCCGACTGCTTCAGACTTGCCTCGTTGGCGGACATCGAGAATCCTATCGGGAAAAACTCAGCGACCATGCTGATGAGCTACAGATGATGCAAGAGAACTGACCGCCCGATCCATGAACCGCGTGTACATGATCCGATGGGATCCCTGGTGCCATTATGGGATCAATCCGAGCCACACCGCTTCGTCCGCGACAAGGCAGACGCCAGAAAGCGTTCGCAACATCGGTGAATATTGCCAAATAAGTCACTATAGCAACATCGAGTTTCATCTTTTGGTGCATCATCCGCTGGTTATTCAGTGTAAGTGGTGGGTCGAAAGCACGAAAGCGTGGGTTGAGGTAAGAGGAGAATGGTGTTGACTGAGTGCGTCACCGGGAGCTAAGGATCGGACGTCGCGCCCATCAATGGCAGAGGCTAATTGATCGTTGTTAGTATGGGTGTCGTTGAGGTTGTTCCGTGGTCGTGCAGTCAGTGATTCCGACGGTGGACAGCCAAAGCTTAGTATAAAAGAGGCAGCGACAACAACAAAACAATGACAAAGCACGTCGCCGCCACACCACCGGCAGATCCAGAGGGACCAACGGCCTGGAAAGTCATTGACATCATGTTTCACTTTAGAGGTTCTGTCCTGAGGAGAGGAAATATCCCTTGCATACCGTTACAGTGGGTGGCTTTGAGGCTTCTCGCGCCACCCAGGTGGCTGCAGGAAGTGACTTGATACGACTCGGTATCGAGGCAACAGTGAAGAGAGACTCAAAACTGGGTACAGCATTCCGTTTCCCGAGCAGTAACGTGTTGTTGTCCCTGTCGATCGATCCCTATGCGGTAGGGTGGTTGGAATGTTGGAATACCACGCCGATCCGTTGCTAGGAATCCAGGGCCTCTCTCATCCTGGCTAAATAGCAGTCTCTTGCCAGTCTGGCTGCCTGGGGGCAAATTAGACGGACGAAAGAACGATGAAAATCCCGATCTTGTAAGGATGGCGGAGATTAAGGTCGGGCCATGAATTGCCAACCAGAACCAGAAGTGACCGAGCTGGATGAACCGTGAACTGCCAAGGTGTTTCCGTTATGGAGAGCTGAGATTCACCGCAAATAGACGTTACAAGTTCCAACTCAATGCAGTAGAGCAAAGGCAGCCAGATCTTGCCATTGGCGATATCGACACACATCACGAATAAGAAGCCAAGAGGTAAGACATGATCTGAGGCGCGGACTACTCCACAGCAGACAGACAAACGGCAATGCTCGGTCGGCATTGAGGGCGAGTTTACCCTTTCTCAGATTCCCCGACCCTTGTTACAGCTGAAGGATCGGTTTCCCGGGCACTCGATGGTCGCAAGTCCCTAGCTTTTGTCGCAGTGGCAAGAAGACACATCATCTGCACGGTCGGAGATATTCGACGTTTCAGAGGCTACTAGATCCCCAATCAGCAGGCATCATAATGCCGATGAGCATTGTCAACTGCACACTTTGCAGGTTGCATTGTAACAAGAAACCGGCTATGTGCATGGTTGTGTGTGCCCAAGCTTAATTCCAGCCAAGGGAGAACAGAACGACCATCCCACTCAAGGGCGTTCCATGACGGGGGCGAGACCTGTCTCGAGCATTCTAAATGCGGGATGTACAGTCAAGCCGCAACGCGTTTGAGCATGCGACCCTATGGTTGCTGGAGCAGTCAACAAAGATGTGGCGTTGCTACATCGGGCTAATCGCGTTCGGTGTCATTCTAGAAGCCGATGAGGCTGGTGTCAGGATCATCAGGGATGTTTGGCACCCCTGATATGTGTGTGTCGGAACATCAGATACAGACGAGGGACTGATACAGGGATAGATTCATGTTGACCGTGAGACCGGGCATGAAACAGCTGCTGGACGAATGAGCGAGGGAGTTTCGAGTCGCGTCGCGTCGCGTCAGAAATATGGAACAATGGAGGATGGGAAGATCGGACCGCGTCGGGAGTGCCTGACTAGTTGCCGGCTACCCGCGCTTGGGGATCGATCCCTGACATTGTGATGCAGTGTCGATCAAGGTGCGTCATGACCTCAGAGTCAGAGGCAGCAAAGAGACCCTGCATATTTTGCAGTTGATGGCTGTGTTTCCTCATTCTGATTCACAGTTGCTTGATGATCTCAGCCATTCTGTTTCGAGGTTTAGATGATGTTGTTAGCAAGTAACTTGCCGCATCGGGCAACCCACAAGCCACCCGCTGTCTGCTGCGGTGTACATCTTGCTTATCTTAAGTGCTGAGTGATGAGTGAATCACGCTATCGATTTGATGAAGGTCAAGGTAAGTCCAAATCATTCGTGTAAGCAGGTGCTCGTCCATTGCATTGTTAGAGATTGTATTCAACAACGACGGGAGGAGCAAGGTGGGGGTGTGTCTGTCGAGGACTCGGAGTTATATATTTCTGCCGGAAGCGGACTCAAGACTCGCAACTTACACACATGAGTCTCACAGTATCTGCTCCGAGCAATGAATAGTCGAAGACAACACCGTAAACCATCCAACAGCCAAGCTCAAGATCCATCTCACAGGCATCATACATCATCACAGAAAAAGTGGCAAGCCCACATGATCCATGACCCAATGTGTAAACTGCTAATAGAACAAGCACTACACCAGGAGCAGTCACCAAGCCACCATCCCGCCCACCAGGACAACCCATCCATATCCAGTCACAAAACCCAGCCTCTGCAGCCCAAAGAAGGCAAAAAGACGCCAACAAGCCAATAAACTCACGATGCATGTGCAGGAACAATCTTATCACTCGCACCTTGCTCTCCTCCCGCAAAAGATAACGATCTACTCCGCACGCGGTTCCCCTCCCCCTCCCCTGTCAATGTCGCCATCGCAAGATAAGCTTCGTCGATAAGCACCATCATGCAACCAATAATCCACCAGAATCCTACGATCCAAAGGAGACAAAGCATCCTGGTCGAAACCCGACAACGAATGAGAAGTGCGTGATCGCCCGTTGTAACCCCCCCCCCCCCGGCGCGGACAAGCGATCAGGGATCTAGCCAACCCCGTCTCGACTGTTAATCAGATAGACTATCAGACTATCAGATGTCAATGCCAATGTCATACATCGATACTCCGTAGGTGCTGGGTCCGGGAGGGCCAGAAAGTGCTACTGCTGGAATTGACAGACCCCAGACTTTGGCTCAATTAGATGTTAACGTTATCACTAGTCCTGCGGACTACAGCAACTCTGGCACAGGATTGACATTCAACCCCCATGCGAAGGAAAGCCTACGCAAGCCGATTCGTTTTGAATAACCACCTAAGCTCCGAGGTTCCGCACAGCGGATCCCCCAATCCTCTCTGCAAACGACGTACGTACGTACGAGTATGAGTACATGAGTTTTGCCGGAAAGAGGGCTGTCATACACCGCTTACTACGACTCCATCCCATGGTAGCTGTGGATGCCTTCAAAAAAAAGTCGACCGGGAAAAAGACGGTGACTTCCGAGAGGCCTCTCCCGAAGCGAAGCCACGAATGCATTCCCCTACAAAACCGGCAAACCTTCCCCCAAACGAGTAAAAATCTCCCCCGTCTGCTAAACTAAGGACTCTTACGGAGTGTGCCCTCACAGACAACCTAAGGCTCCATTCATAATAACGCCCATTAACCAACCTAACTTACTACGCAGTCGTCCTTACTCCATCCGGCAGAAGACGACAAGCCCTCCGAGTCTAATTGGCTTATCTCTGCGCTATACCCCAGGAGGGGAATGGATATCCTACGGCCCCGGCTTTTTTGTCTTCGTTATGGCGGGATGCTAAAACGCGCCAGGGTGATGCTAGATCAAGCCATGGGTTTCGTTTGTTGTTTGAGGGGGCGCGCGGGCCGGGGGGAGGCGGAAATTCCATTGAGAAGATTTCTCGCCCACAGCGCGGGAAGAGAGCAACTTCAGTTTTTTTTTGACTCTGTTTGTTATGTGGTAAATTGTCTTCGACCGTCCTGAAGAAAAGGACATACGTCAGTAGCAACCGCGGTGAGGTTAGAGAGAAAAAGTTGAAACAGGACTAAATGGCACCTGGATGTGCACCGATGCTTCGAAAACCATGATCGGCTAGCGGTTTTTCCACGCAGGGACAGCGGAACCCCCAAGAGAACTAGTTTAGTCGATTTTACTGTTTCTGCGAGAGACGGACGAGACGGGCAAAGATGATTGCTGTCTCAAGCATGTTGGTTAGAGACTAAGAAACGACGACACGGGACTGAGGTTGCCCTTGGGGCGCGCGGGGAGGTTCCGGATGTTGATATCGATTCGAGATTTCGCCTTCTGCTGTCCATATCCATACATGGCAAAGAAGTCCTCCGGCAGGAAGTGAGCTTCTTTTTTGGATGTCACTCCAAATCAGCCTGCCCTGACCGCGAAGGACAATCGTTATTGTAGGCAGAACCAAACCAGACCGACGGATAACAATGCCTCGATTCCGAAAGGCGCACCGGTGAAAAAGCGTTAGTCAAAAAGTGGTTTTCGTAGCATCTCACCCTTTCCGAGTTTTCGTGTGCGAATGAAAAGCGGATGGTGAAATGAGATCCACCGTGCGGGTTTCCAACTAGGCTAAGTTCCATCGGGCTGACCAACGAGGATCACTGAAGCAGAAAAAAAGCTGGAGATGGTTCGGATCAGAAAGACCGGTAAATTCCTGTCTCAGTCGCTCAAAACGTCGTAGCGCGGCTGCTCTGCCTACTCTGAGTCTGAGGGCTGCCTGTTCCCGCTGGTAGATGCGGAGGATGACGTTGTTGGTAGAAGGGGTTGTGGTGTACGGAGTAGCATGTCTATAAGAAGGTCATGTGATACGATAGAAGGCTCAAGGCAAGAGCATCTGTTATCAGCGATCGGCATATCTGCTGGAGGTTAAGAGATTTTTTTTCACTCTCTCTCACTCGGGCCGGTTTTGGCACCAATGCACCAACAGGATTAGACAGTGATAGTGCGATAATCAGCATCTGATATTGTTGGGGCCGAACGTGCATTGCATCCTGACTGCTGCATCTGCGGTATGACGACAGTCCAAGAAAGCATAAGAAAATAGGGCAAAGCGGAAACTTCACACGCACCTGCACCGTCTGCACGGTATAAGCGGGCTAAACCCGGTGTGGGCAAGTTAAAATTCTGTCGTCGGCACCAAAACTGACCAAGTGGGGAGGACCGCCACTCTTTGTATCTGCACGCGGCCAACGACAACGCTCAGCCGTCCCTGGGGACTTCCCAGGCAATCAACAATAATCCAAGAAGCCCTTGTCCACCGGAATCGAAGAATCACCGCCACAGAAGTTCTTCCGAGCACCCTCGGGCTACGTAGTTGGCTGTACCTTTCAGGCCCGGTGTTACTTGAGGGACTTTTCTGTGGTCAACCAAACCTACGTGCAACCCATCCAGACCCTCCCTATGACGAAGGGGAGGGAAAGAGAACGTCCAGAAGCGAATTAAAGTGGATAGAGTCGAGATGAACCCGCAGAATCCCAACCGGATAATTGAATCCATGATAGGTTCTCCCCCGTAGAAATTGGCAGACAAGGAGGGCACGAGAGCATGGGGTACCTTCTTTTGCCCATCGATTGAGACTGGTGGAGCCTCCGTCAGACTCGCAACAACCCATGCAAAGAGCCAACCTAAGATGGGGTCGTAGAGAGGGAAAAATAGAGTAAAAAAACAAGAAAAAAAAATAAATTCGCCCAAGGATCTTAAATACTCAACTGTATCCCATATTCTGACGGCTTTCGTCGGCCTTCATACCTTGACCCTTCTTTTTACTCACTTTTACCCCTCCTCTTATCCTTATCCTCTTCTCCTTTGATCCCGTCCTCCGTTATCCCTACTTTTAAACCTCGTCTGGATCCCTCTTCCTGCAACTACCCTTTCCTATGCAGCAACGGTCTGGGCATTGATACTCCACGCTGGCTTGGCTCTCTACTTCTCCTCCACCACCACCATTCCGCTTTTGTTGTTGATAGCTTGAGAGAACCACGCAACCCAAAACGCAGATTGAATTCTGTAAAACTTCCCTTGTTGTATCGCCGTATCGTCAATCAGAGCCCTATCAAGCAATCAATCCGTCTGCGACAGATTCAACTCATCAGCCCTTGCCACGGTCTCGCCTTTCCGGTATCGACACCCCATTTGCGACTGTTTTGAAGGAACGGAATCTTTGCCACCCGCAGCAATTTCCTCGGCCGAGATCCTATCGGAAATTCACAAGCCCCATGCAACAGTGGTTTTGGAAGAATTGACTCTTCATCAAAGCCTCCTTCTAGGACAATTATCATTCCCACGCGATCATCTTGCGGCTACGGCAACCGTTGACCGACCCCTCGAGCGATTGCCCTTTGCGACAACATCACGTGCCTGATATATTCTCCGCTGACCCCAATTGCTTCAATTGTCTGGTACAATGAGCGACCTCGATTTAGAGAAGAAGCCCAGCACCGGGCAGGTAATGCCTAGGAGCGAGTCTGCATCCGGATCTGAAGATGCGGACGCTCTTAAGCTGGCCGAGATGGGCTACACTCAGGACTTGCAGCGCAATTTCTCGGTGCTTTCCCTGGTCGGAATTGCCTTCTGCATGTCCAACTCGTGGTTCGGTATCTCTGCATCTTTGATCACGGGTATCAGTTCCGGAGGCACGGTCATCATCATTTACGGCCTGTTGTGGATCACCTTCATCTCGTGCTGTGTGGGATCCTCCCTCTCGGAATTGGCCAGTGCCATGCCCAACGCGGGTGGGCAGTACTTCTGGGCCGATCAACTGGCTCCTAAGAAGTACGCTCGTTTCGCATCCTACGTGACCGGCTGGTTCGGCTACGCGGGTGCCATCTTTGCGAGTGCCAGTGTGGCCCTCAGTCTGGGATCTGGTGTGGTGGGCATGTGGGAGCTGGGCCATCCCTCATTGTATGCTTGTCTCCCCCTACCGGTTGCCCTCTGTAGTGCTGACCTCGATGATAGTGTTCCCAAACCTTGGCACACCGTTGTAGCGTACGAGCTCATCAACCTCTTTTGTTACCTGTTCAACTGCTGGGGTAAATTTCTCCCTGCGGTCGCCAAGGCCACGCTGTACATCTCGCTGCTCTCGTTCTTCGTGATTTTGGTGACCGTACCCGCGTGCGCCAAACCCCACGCCAGCGCCTCGTTCGTTTTTGGTCACTTCGTCAACTCGACCGGGTGGAAGTCGGACGGGATCGCGTTCATTGTCGGCTTGATCAACCCCAACTGGATCTTCGCGTGTCTGGACTCGGCGACGCACCTGGCGGAGGAAGTGCCGCAGCCGGAACGCAACATCCCGATCGCCATCATGGCCACGGTGGGCATCGGTTTTGTGACCTCGTGGTTCTACTGCGTGGCCATGTTCTTCAGCATCCAGGACCTCGACGCGCTGCTCAACTCGTCCACGGGCGTCCCCATTTTGGAGTTATATTACCAGGCGTTGAGCAACAAGGCGGGCGCCATTGTGCTGGAGACCCTCCTGATCGTCACGGGTATGGGATGCCTCATTGCCTGCCACACCTGGCAGTCGCGGCTCGCGTGGGCGTTCGCGCGCGATCGTGGCGTGCCCTGCCATCAGTGGCTGTCGACCGTCAACGTGAAGCTGGACGTGCCCATGTGGTCGCACTTTGCGAGCTCGCTGATTGTCGCCCTGCTGGGTCTGCTCTACCTCGGCTCCTCCACTGCGTTCAATAGTATGGTCACCGCCTGTATCGCGCTGCTGTACATCTCGTACTCGGTGCCTGTGATCTGCATGCTGTACCGCGGTCGCGACAACATCAAGCACGGTCCCTTCTGGTTGGGCAAGTGGGGGTTGGCCGCCAACTACATCACCTTGGCCTGGACCCTGTTCTGTCTGGTCATGTACTCGTTCCCTGCCACCATGCCGGTGAACACTGGAAGTAAGTTACCTCTCATCCCCATCCATCCATCAAGTCACCAATCAGCCCACTAACCAACCCTCCCCACAGATATGAACTATGTGTCCGCCGTCTACGGCGTCATCATCTTCATCATCCTCGTTGACTGGTTCGCCCGTGGTCGCAAATCCTTCCGTGGTAGCCAGAGTTGTGTCGAGGACGCCACCACCACCACCAACACCACCACCGGCCACGCACACTAAGCCTGAGCCGCCATCACTTTTACCTCTTGCTTCCTGCTTCCGAGTTTACATCATCCATCATTCATATCACCACCCATCATGCCAGCACCACATTTTCCGATTCATGATTAGCGTTGATCAGAGCGTTTTTCCCGCTGGCCCCATCCCGCCACCTGGTTATTCGGCCATTTTGCATATGACCTTGGATCCGTCTGGAAATAATCCCAAAAGGACTAGAATTCAGTTGGACTGACCACCACACCACCATAAACCCCCTTCTTGATCAAGCGAAGGGGAAAACAAAAACAAAGTTATGACCCCCAAACAAAAACAAAAAAAAAAGCTGTACATAAGATGATACCGATCGATACGATACCCTTGGTGACGATAGTCGGATATAGACAATCAAATCGAAAAAAAAAAATCTTCAAAGTGTTTCGTGCTCCCTGTTCAAGAGTCAACAAGTGTGTCACTGTAGTTAGTGAGATCCATGATCAATAGTCCTGTAGCCTGTTGAATACCTAGGTAGATAGATGCCTCAACCTAAGTAAGCACTGGCCAAGGACCGAAATCGATCAACCCAATGGCCATCCGTACCCGGATGAGACCCTGCAAGCAACTGGCAATCTGAATTGAACCCGAAACCCACACAGCCTGGAGACGGTGCCACCGGTGACAGACCCCCCGGCTTTTATAACTCCCAGGTAGGGGTTATAAAACTACTAATCCATAACAATAAAACTAACTCGAAAAATCCCTCACATATTGATTATCGACCTGTCATGGGGGCAGGCACCAAAGCTAACCAAGCGATTTTTTTTTCTGCTGTACATGTGACCTTTCCGCACGGTAAGTTGGGTGGGACGTCGCAGGCTCCGGGCCCTTCTAGCCCTACGCCACAAAAGTCTGGATTACTCGGATTTTCACGTATCAGGTGGTTGGGATGGGATTGTTGATGGGTTTGGGATTGGGGGTGTTTTGGGTGATGGAGGGGGGTTTGGGGCTTCACCGTCTCTTTGAACGGGGGTTTGCGTGGGGTTGTTTTTGAGGGAGATATACGTGGTGTTGGAGGGGTGTGGCGTCGTTAGTATGTCTTTGTCGGTGAGGAGTGAGGGTGTCATGGGTGGAGAGTTGGGGTGGTTACTACCTTGGTGAGAGGGAGTTTTGGCGGGTGTTTACTTTGTGGTGCAGTGGGCTTTTGCGAGGGTCGGGGACTGGGCTTGATGATCCAGGATTGTGTTGTGGTTGTTTGTTTTTGCCTGTGGTGATGGTGTAGTCGTTGGTGGTTTGTTGCTTTGGGTTGCAGAGTGACTGATGGTGATGGGTGTTTGGAGTGGCGGGTGCGGACTGCTGTGGATGCCAGTTCGATGGGGCAATGGGATTGTGGTGTGGATTGTGGGCTTGGAGGAAGCTGTCAACAGCTGTAAGCTTCTTGGGGACTGGCGTTGGGTGCGGAGAGTTGGAGCTGGAGTTGGAGCGTTGTGGATTGCTTCTTACGTACTTGACGCTGCGCGAGGAGCGTTGTAGTCCTCAGATATCTATTGCAGATGCTTTTGTAGCGTGCGACGTGAGATGGGCGCGTATGCTATGTCTAGGGGAACCTGCGTCCCGGATCTACTATGATGGCTGCACTCGTCTTCCTGTTTAGAGCCAGTATCCAATTAAACTCACTTGACGGTGGACTAAGTTGGATTCTAAGTTTTGAAACATAGGTGAACGAACCACACGAGAGCAGAAGCAGTGAGAAAAATAGGCAACATTTGACGCCATCACGTCGTTTGAGTGAGCTATGACTGCTATAATCACGCAGTGTGTGATCGCCATTCAGATGTAATAGATGACTAGAATAAGTCAGCAGTTGCAAGCATACCTTGCTAAAAGAAGTACTGCAAACATTAGAGGATGTTGACAACTTGCGCCTATGCTCTGACTTCAGATCGAGAAACACGGCAAAAGTCCGATGCATTTTTCCAGTGTTCAGTGCACCTTGGTCGAGTTCAGCTTTTATGGCGTTGTAGGTTGCATCTACAGTCATGTTGGACGTGATTGACCTTAGGTTATCCACTCTGCCTTGCTATCACTACCTCCTGAGCTCCTGAAAGTAGTCGCATTCCATCTTGCCACCTGCAGACAGAGTCACTTATGCTTTCCAATCGGGGGCCTTCCTCTTTCATCTTTCTGTGCAAACACATAACCAATTCTCCAGCCGGACTCCTGCTTGTAGAGGCAGATTCCATCTCTAGTGTTGCAAGCAGCACATCTGTGTCATCACCATGTCGAATCATTTCAAAGGTACCTCTATCTGTGTCAGTGGGTCCGTAATCCAGATCCTTCCGGAGCGCGGCACAGCCGCAAGCATAGTCTCTTTGACCTCCGCCAGAAGATCTACTGCAAGTTCCGAAAACAGCACAAGCTCTTCGGAGAATATGAATGGTTGGGCCCTCAAATATGGTTCCACCAATGCCATTATCAGAACCCGACGTACAGCATTCCATCTAGGCAATTCTTCCACGACCGCCAGATGCCCTACATCAATATGCTTTACATTGATGCCGCGATACTTTGCTGGGAACGGGTTGTTGCGCTTCTTTCTGATTTCTGGAGCCTCCGTGATGACCTGAATTATGCTCGCAGTCACGAGATCTGTCAACTCACCCTCGCCACTCATTTCGGCGAACCGAGCCAACTTCAGGAGACAGGTGATCTGGTTGCTGCGGTCCTCACCGGGCAGAGTCAACTTGCCTAGATACAGCCATTCGATATAGAGCTCAAAGCTCGGCTTGAAGGTGATGGTATCTTCTTGGAGGGTGGCAAACGAGGTCCTCGCTTCGGCGTAATTGCCCTCGAACATCTTCGAGAAGTAGGTAGACTTCTTGCACAGAAGAGCTTTGGACAACATGTAGGTCGGACCATCCGACCCGAGCCGGATGGTGACTTGAGGTCCGTGGTATAGTGGAAGTAACCTAGAGGCTAGGCCAGTATGTGTCAGTATGAAAGATGGCTCACTAACGTCTCTGCAAAGGTATTCTTCGTTGCAGTCTGCGCTTTCGGGTTCATCTGGTGAGGTCGACATTTGTGCTTTATAGCTAGCCGACTGAATATCTCTGTCTCCTGCTTGTGAACACACGCCCTACATACGTTGAGAGATTAAGCAGTTGGTGGATTGCGAACAACGAGACTGAAAAGTGGAGGGGTGGTGAGAGAAGGTATGATATGAGGCGAGAGAAGTAATGAAAGTAGTGTGTTATGTAGTGACACGTTTCTGGAGTCAAAGCCTCTCCTTGTGAACGATGCGGGTAGGCAGCTATCTTCACCCGGGTATGTATTCACTGGCAAGCTTTTAAGTAGTAAGTAGTCTCTCGCAAAAGAGCCGAACGCAAGCCTATCCAGTTTGCATGTAAGGCCTCCATGAGCCCGTCTAGATTCATAGTGTACCGCCCTATAATGATCATCTCTGATACCCTAGTGCGATTTATCTCTCATCTCTTCAGTCAATATCCATGGCTGGGACAAATTGAGTGAGCATCTTTGGAGTATTACAATGCAGGTTGCAGAAAAACTGAGACCTCATATTAGGTTGGAGCTAGAAGCAAAGAACTAGATATTACATGAGCCATTCAAGGTAAAGTAGCGATACTTCAAAGTGTAAAATGAGAACAACATTTCCAGGCAATAACCACTCAAGATCCGATCAGATGCGACTTCATGTCTTCAAGCTTAGCATCGGGAACATCGATAGGGTCATTATACATAGGTTCGTTGGTGATTAAGAACAACCTGGATAGACCTCAAGTACATAACATAGAGCTACTTAGTAAAAAAATGTTCTTTAGCAAGACCACACCAGATGATGACAAGTTAAGGAGCAAGATTCTGAAGTTATAAGTTGTCAACATTCTAGATGGAAACGGTTACTGATTATGTCATCCATGATGACAGTGGCTAACATCACCCGACCAATCAGACAACTTGCCGTTCCATCAAAGATCTTACGGATGATTGACAAATCGTGGATCAGAAAAGATGCCCGTCAGCATAATTACCCAGAACTTATCAACCACTCTATAATACGAGGAAGGATTTGACAGCTCAGAGGCTAGAATCTTCTTACTCAGTAAAGCACAATTTCTCCAGCCACTCACAGTGCGCAAATGGCCGTGATTCTTCCATCAGCATTGCTGTGGGAAGGAGAAAGATGCCCAGGGGCCCTTAGTCAGTCTTACCCCATGCTTACAGACGGATCTCCGCCCCGCCTGGACCTGCAGCCCACTAAAACTATAAAGCCGATCATCGATCGCAGCGACAGAGGGAATAGTTTCTGAAAATGCACATCACATTCAATCTCATCTCACCACCCCTCTATTCACTGATCATCCTCGCTCCTCTCATCTTCTTCATCACCAAAGCAATTATCTCGAACAATACTTCCATCGAAATGTCCAAGCCTCTCGCTCACGCCTCCATCGTGGCCCGCCGCTCCAGCGAGCGCGGCTACGCCGAACACGGCGGCTGGCTGAAGACCTTCCACACCTTCAGCTTCGCCAACTACTACGACCACAAGTTCAACCAGTTCGGCAGTCTGCGCGTACTCAACGAGGACCGCGTCGCGGCCCGCAATGGGTTCCCGACCCACCCTCACCGCGATGCCGAGATCTTCAGCTACATCCTCAGCGGCGAGCTGACCCACCGCGACAGCATGATCAAGAAGGGCGCCGAAGGTGCGCAGGGCAAGCAATTCTACCGGATGAAGCGGGGTGATGTACAGTTCACGACCGGCGGTACAGGTATGTATCTCCCGAACACAGACTATCCTACAATAAGCTAACCAGAACGATAAAACAGGTATCGCGCATTCCGAACAGAACGAGTCCAACAAGCCAGTGCACTTCCTTCAAATCTGGGCTCTCCCATGGAAGTATGGACTCAAGCCGAACTACCACACGAGAACGTTCGATGAGGCGGCCAAGCGTCAGGGGTTCGTGCATATTCTGTCGCCGCTCGCGGCGGGTCCCGATGCTACC